GCGCAGCCGGAGGGGAGCACCTCCGGATAAGGGCGAGAGGACGCCGGAGGAGCATTGCGCAGGGAGGGGAGTAAGAATGGCGGGCTGGACAGCGTGTGTCCATCAGGGGAGGCTGCGAGGAGGCAGGGGGCTGTCGGTGGAGGGGAGCACTACTGAGAGGGAGCGAAGAGGGAAAGGGGGAGAACGGAGGAGAGGGAATGGGCGGGGGAGCCTGGCCGAGGAAGCCAGTGGTCCTGGAGGACAGGCAGGGAACTCGCTGTTTCCTGGAGGAGAAACCCAGGGGACCAGAAGGAGTGTGAGTGTCCCTGACTGGGGAGCCAGGCACGGTGGGAATAGCACTGCTGAGGGCCAGCCCCTCCTGATGTCAGTAGAGTCTGGGGGTTCCCCTCACACAGTGAGGGACTGGGATGAGGGGATCCTACACTGCCCACAGCTTTGCCTCGAGTCTGCAGGCTTTGAAGACCTCTTAGAGATTTCCTAGGGCAGCCCCCAAGGCCTCTGGGTCTAAGTCAGGCCAAGGCCTTGGAGTCTGAAGTGTTTGGTGGATTGTCCTAGTCTGGCTGCTCCTGGGTGGGTGGCTTAGAGCCCATGTCCGAACTCCCCCATTGAAGAGGAACGTAGCTTCCAGTCAGGGGCTTGTGCCACTTCTGGGCCCTCCTGCTGGGAGGCTGCCCCTCTGCAGCCTCAGTTCCCTGCCCAGAGGAGCCCTTGCTGGTCCACAGTGAAGCTGGGGTCCTTTTCTGTGTCCTCTGCTGGATGACTCTAACCAGATCACCCAAACTCTCTGGGTCTAAGAGAGCCACTCTCCTCAGGGCAGTTGAGAGCCTGAGTTCCACTGGAGAATTTCTTTAGAAATTATTTCATTCTGATCACATTTTCTAGTACAAATGGAGGTCCAAAGTGCAGTTACAAAAACTACAAAAACGACTTCTGTTCAGTTTTGGAAGACATGGAGGAACTTTTTCTTTAAACACATTGGGCCGAGCTGGGGAATTGGTTTGCTCTGAGGGAGGTGACCCAGTTGCTAAGAGATGGGGAGGCCAGCTAGGGATGAAAACTTTGCCCATATAATCTGTGGCCACCTGCTGGGTACTTGGGAGTCGCCCATGGTGGACGAAGGGTGAGAGCACTGGTTTTGGAGTCAGACAGACATGCTCTGCCCACTTGCTTCCTGGACTGTTGCTGCCAGGTTGTCTGGATCCGGAGAGTGTGAGGGGGAGATGAGGTGTCTGTGAAAGTTCTTGGTAAACAGCAAGAACTTTTTTTTTACCAAGAAAGTTCTTAGTAAATCATTAAGGGTAGCGTCTAGTCTCATTAATAATGCTTCAGGCTCTGCCAGATTGTGTCGCCCTGGACAGGACTCCTCAAGAGCATTTACCTCTGACAGTCCCAGTATTAACACTACTCTTACCTTATTATTTTTATCTAATGGAGTTAAGACTTTACCTTCGATCATGAGATAAAGTTGGCTTATTTTAATTTTATTTATTTTATATTTTTATTTTAGAGTCAGGGTTGAAATGAGGGTCTCACTGTCGCCCAGGCTGCAGTACAGTGGCATGATCATGGCCACTGCAGCCTCGACTTTTGGACTCAGGCAATTCTTCTGCCTCAGCCTCCTGAGTACAGTACCTGGGACTACAGGTAGGCATGCCACCAAGCTTGGCTAAATTTTTTGATTTTTTTGTAGAGATGAAGTCTTGCTGTGTTGCCCAGGCTGGTCTCGAGTTCTTAGACTCAAGCAATCCACCCACTTTGGCCTCCCAAAGTACTGGGATTATAGGCACAAGTCACCACTCTAGGCCTATTTTTATTTTTTGAGTCAGAGTCTCACTCTCTTGCCCAGGCTGGCGTATAGTGGTACGATCATGGCTCACCGTAGCTTCGACTTCCCGGGCTCAGGCGATCCTTCTGCCTCAGCCTCTCCAGTAGCTGGGACTAAAGGCACATGCCACCACACCCAGCTAATTTTTAATTTTTTTTGTAGAGACAAGGTCTGCCTGTGTTTCCTAGGCTGGTCTGGAACTTCTGGGCTCAAGCAGTACTTCCACCTCAGCTTCCCAAAGTGCCAAGATTACAGGCATGAACCACAGTGCTGGCCTGAGATGAAGTTGTCTTTAAGAGAACATACTGAACCACCAGGGCCCAGGAAAGCAACAATGAATATTTTGCATGCCAGGAAGGAGGCAAAAGAGGAAGTGGAATTATAATCAAATAATACTTAGAATATGTGGTATTTAGTTAAGCTATAAGCTCCAAGACAGCAGGGCGTTAATACCCTAAGGTGTTACCCTTCAGTAGGAATTCCCTGGGCTATTCTGTGAGAACAGCAGTTTAAATGGCTCTGTTCACTGTGGAAGCCCTAGTGCCTGACATGTAGTAGGCCTGAAATAAATATTGGTGGAAGGTCACAGGGCCTGAGGGTCTTTTGAAGTCACTGGTGAATTCACTCTTTCCTTTGACGCTTAATGATACAGGGCCAAGAGGGAAAGGGACTTGTCCAAGGTCACAGAGTTTGAATGGTTGAGCCAGGATGAGAATCCAACAAAAATAGCAGAGCCAACACTGCCCAAGTCACCACCTAGCATCATGGCTTTGTTTTGCTTTCACAAGAACCCAGGAGGTAGCCATTTTTATCCTCTGTTTAGAATGAGCTAAGAGAGGTTGATGGATGCTTACAAAGTCACACAGCTGGTAAGCTCCAGACCTGAAATTTCATCCTTATGTTAAAAATGGGGACTCTGAGCAAGTCGAGGCTGTGGTGGCCGGGAGCGGCCACTGCACTCCAGTCTGGGTGACAAAGTGAGACTCCAACTCAAAAAAAACAAAAACAAAAACAAACAAAAATGGGGACTCTGGTTTCTCTTCAGTCTGCCAGGGGTGAGTGGTGGACGTGCAGTTTGGGGCAACAGTTCTCTCCAGATCTCCAGGGTCACCACCTGGGCGGCTTCCCTCCTGGCTGGATCTTCCTAGGCCCCTGGGCATCTGTGTGTGAGCCCTCCAGGGCAGGGGACCGTCTGCTTCATTCTTGTGTGCCAGCCCTGATAGTGTGTGGCTGATATATAATAAGCACTGAGTGAAATCTGTGAGATGAGGGTAACCCAGGGCTCGCCCTCTCCAAAGCCCATTTTCTTTTCTTTTCTTTTTTTTTTTTTGAGTTGGAGTCTCACTCTGTCACCCAGACT